AGCACGTGCTTCAGAAGGCATGTCCCTCAATTTCTATATGCTTGAGGAAAGTAAAGTACAGTATCGGGCACTAACCCCCCTCCCCCTTCATCGGCTGATCAAAAATATCGACATTTGAAGCTACGAATTAAGCCATGAATGTAAACGATATACTGAAAAAATGAGTTTTCATTTACAGTTATTGTTCAGTTAAATATGTTTGTTTATTGCAAAACAGCAGAATGACCACATTAAAGAACTACTACAAATACTGCTGGCAGTTAGCATGAATTCTGATTTTCCTGGATAAAATCTACAAGGAGATCCAGTAACTCTGTATACTGATAAGAATACATGAATGCTCCGTACTTTCGGTAACTTGGAGTATAGGCCTAATGTGAAAAGTTTAATTAGATTGTAATTATTAAGAAAGTCGGAGCTAGGCCTAAAATGTAGAAAACGTTTAATGAAAAACAATCAGCATAAATGATTATTATAACATAACCTCTGATAATATATAGGCTGCAATTGAAATGATATCAGTGATGGATTCATTTCTGTAATTGAGAAGCGTAGTATATCGTTTCTAAAAATTATTTTACCTGGGAATGCCTGAAGTAGTTTTGTCGTTAACTTATTAACTTTGGTTAATTTCAATATAAAATATAAATTGCAATATAACAAATATAAACAAATTGTGTTTGTAGAGACAAAATTAGAAAATTTGGCATTTTTGCTTAGAGAACAATACCATCTGAATTATATATTTAACCACTGACTAAATCTAGGCTTTAATGACAGAAAGAGTTATATTCGTTGTTTTAAAATAATTGTTTTTTAAATCTTTCTGTTAAAAAATATTATTATAATTCGGTATTCATTAAGTTGAATATGTGCCCAGCGTTAAAATTTGAACAATCTCAGTCGTTTCAAATCTCGATCGTTTCTAATTTATGCTGTTTCAATGTCAGCTTGAACTTCGCACGAATCTCATTGTTTTCTGTAATAACTGTATACTTTTCAATTTAATATCGCAGTGTGAAAATCATTCAGTCTCAAATTTTTGCGATTGAATCTTCTGGGCTTAAAACAAAAGGTCCTATTGGATGGAAATTATGTTTTAACCTAAATACGATACAGAAACATCGAGTTTCTCTTCTGCACTGAGAAAATTAAGATACATTTTCCGAACCAAAAGTATGATTTCAGATTCTTACTTCATACCAAAGCCGATGTATTTGTCATATATTAATTTGCAGGGCAGTGCATTTATTTTCCATTGAAATAAAATACGATACGTACATTACACTCTACTATGCATTTGTAATTCATAACCTTATATGATTAACATTTAACTTGCTGAGGGTTTCAGGCTAAGTACATGCTTTTTGCATCATTGACGAGGTGCAATGTACATTTTTTAAAAAGGAATCGTTTATGCACTGTTGCGGCGCAACGTTGTAGCGGTGTGGTAAGCGGCAATAGCCTGGGGCTGTGACGTCAAATGAGCGCTCTTTTGAGTTTAGGTAATGGGTTTCCCTTCCCGAGATTCTAGCCGTGAAAACAATGCTGAGGCCTTAACTATGTTATTCCAAAAACCGCTTTGCTACTTATAAATTAATAAACTAACTGTGACGGGGTTCCGGTCGCTTGTTACTGAAAGTTTCTCCTGCCGCAGTGATTCATTTATTAGTCTGTATGACTATCACAACAGACTAATTACTAAACTAATGAAGCTTATTTATTGTCACGGCATAATTCCAGACGCATGTAGTTATATAGACTACTTTTGCGCCGGTGTCTGGCATCTTTTCGGTTACTTAATTTGAGAATAAAAGTAGGTGAAACCGTTTTCGCGTATGAAGTAAAACCATGAAGAAATGTGATTTTAAACATGATTATGTCGCAGGGACATGGCCTCTACCACCTGCTTCCTTGCGGTTTGAGGCTTGTCTAGAATTGTAAACGTCGAACACTTGTTAAAATAGTGTGAAGTAACATTACAGTTGCACTACTATGGACGAAGTCGAATGCTATATTTAAGACACAAGCACATTAACTACAATCCGTGCAGACACTCATGTAAGAAGAGCTACTGGAAAAATATATCCTAACACTTTAATTAAACTAGTGACGGTTTTATCTGTGGTGAAACAGCTTACAGAACAAACATTCCTTTGCTATTTTCATTTGTTGTTTTATGTAATGCTAAGCGTCGATAGATGGACGTTTTTGGTTGTACTGGCCAGAGCTTGCAGAGGTAAGTGATATCAATTAGTCGCGCATATGCTGCTCTATTCCTTATAACGCCTCTGTTGTAAACTGATATACAGGCATATATCGCTATTTTAAAAGCAACAAATATGAAATAGCAAACAAAGAGGGCAAATTTGAATTCGTTCTCCCAACCGGCCGTCTATTCTAAATTACATGCAAGCTGGAATTTGATTTATTTTGGATACGTTAATACGTCGTTTCTACGTGTTAGAAAACAGCACCTCCAGTCCTTTTCAGACAGTCAATTTCCCTCTTATTTTAAAATATCCATTCAACTTAACTTCTACATGTTATATAATGGGCCTACTTTAAGTTAAGGTGCCGAGTCGAGTCTGTTTTCTAACGTATGCGTGAATGATACCGATTGGTGTAGGGAATAATATTAAACTGAATTTTCCGTTTTAAATATAGCATACTGGAAAAAAAACTGCAGCATTCGTTAAGCAAAGTCATCTGGTCAGCTTTCCTTCACTGAAGTTATTGTATTCAGTTTAATTCCTGCATTTACATGATCTCTGCATATTTAAGTGCATGCGTGTATGTATGTATATATCTGTATGTATGTGCAAGTGAAGTATTCAATTTTCCCTTAAACGGCTTCTCATACAAACTCGGTGATGCGCGCCGCTTAAATTTTATATTTCAAATTGGGTTGTAACAGCTTCCGATTTTAAGGTGCAACTAAATAACAAATTTAGTTTTTTAATGCCAATAAATAAACAATATAATTTCAGTGACTAATTCGTAAAAATGAAACTCAAAATTCCTGTTTTGAATAATTGTGAGGATTGCGCTAAACTGAATTATAGACCTACAAATTAATGTGTGCAGGTGAACATTAATCATACCAAAAATATTTTTTTTTCATGGAATACTTTGTCCTAATTTATATATATATATATATATATATATATATATATCACCACAGGTATATTAGTTTACTTCATGGACAGAATATCGCACAAATCAATGTCCAAACATTAGCCATTAATTGAAACTCAGAGCCAAAACGATATACTAGTGGTTAATAAAATACAATTCTTAGACTGATTTAGCTTGTTATATGGCAAAGTTGTACTACCCTTCATTTTTCTGGTATTTTTCTGCGCCTAAAAATGGTCGTCGTTGATTGCAATGCACTGATATTTCCGCTAGGTGTCTACTGTGTTACCCTGGCTCAAGAACAATATGAAATTTCACCACTCGAGTGACAGCTCACACTCGTGTAAACTTCCCCTGATGGGGTAATCAAAAGTGATCCTCAGGCAGTACACTAGAGGAGTAAAAGGAACGCCGGGCTTGGCCTGCATGAAAAGATCACAAACCAACTCCACCCAAAGAAAATGTCTGTAATAGTAAAACAGCTTCCATTGGCCCAAGGTCAAGGACACAGCAAGATAGCTTTCTATCTATCTATCTATCTATCTATCTATCTATCTATCTATCTATCTATCTATCTATCTATTCTCATATAAGGGAGAACATTATATAGAATGCGTTTTTTTTTTTAAAGCATTAGGTTATTGCAAAATCTTTTCTAAGTTTTCTTCCAACATGATTGATTTTTAGAGCATTTTATTTGTCGCTCAGTTTTTTTTTATTAATTTGTTTCTTTATTTTACTTGTATATTTTGGTTAGTGATTACACACTTTCTATTTTGTTTCCAGCTTTTAAAAAACAGTTTGGGTAAATAATATGCATAACTAAACTTTTTCTTTAGTTTTCAGTAGAAATATTTTCCAGATGTTCCAACTGTTTTGTTTTTTTGTTTTGTTTTGATGTAAGTGAACGAGTATGAAGTCCATTTAAACTGTGGTACCTTAAATCCGACAAGTTACCCCAATAAGCCAGTAACCCCACTTTGTAGTACAGGCCACTGGACAGGATGTGCGTCCATAAACACAAACACAGAACTTTTAAGCTCCGTGTGGCTGGACTGTGGTTGTACTGACCAGGCAACCTGCCACCCCAATTGTATTATTTTCCAATGAAAAATCCCCATTGCCGTTCTAACACACCAGCAGAGAGAATGACTGGTTTGTCATGATTTTTTCTTTTCTATGAAGGAAAGTGCTCATCATACAATATGTCCACTGGGTCTGAGCAGAAGCCCTCGTTCCAGTGCAGCTGCTTTTCTACTGAACTTTACAGGTGATATCAAGGATGTTGCATTAGTCCAGTGGGCTGCTGCTTTCTATAACCCACTAAATTAAATACATCCCTGTCCTTCGGGCCACAAATCCCCCGAATAGCTAATGAGTATCTGAGCAGGCCGTTCATGTCTGTCGAAAGGTAGCGGGACACTCGGCGTGATTTAAAATGTCGTCACCCTGTTTGGACAACTGTTGTTCTGTACTGCCAAGCAAAACTCTGAAATATCTGTAATGCAGAGCATAAATCTTTGGATTTATTTCATGCACATGAAGAATTATGCCATGAAATAAGCGAAGGAGAGGAGAGTACTATGAAAGGCAGCCACCTCATTTCAGCAGGACGTTGACGCAGGACTAGGTACAATTCAACGATGTTAGAAATGGTAAAAACAAAAAATGGGTGCCATAGGAACAAAATGTCATGCAAGAAATAATATTAACAAGCAGCATTTAATGACTGGGAGGGCGTGTTAGTGCTCAGATGTTTCCAACAGTATTTTCTATCCAAAAATTATTTATCATTGTTATCTTGCCCTCATATCCAAAACTTTGGTATTACTTAGAAGCTAAAACAGCTGTTTAATCTTTAGGGGATGCATGGTGCACAGGAAATGATGAGTTCTGGGACTTTGATGTCTGGGACCACTGGTGTGTGTTGAAGATGGCAGCCACAAGTGTTTCACGTCTGCACAGCTAAGTTTGGCTGTGAAGCGGCCGAACAACAAAGGAGAGCAAGTCGTATCCTCCTGCAGGTCAGTCACTGGGCTGTTCTCTGAGGCCTGTCTTCACACAAGTGAAAATGTAAACTGCGCTGCATTTTTTTTTAGCACATTAACTGGAGAAGCTGGCATCTGATTTTACACAGAAGGTTGCCTGTAGAAGCCGGCGGAGCAATCAGATGGCTGCTTTGTCCAGGGACTGAGGCTGAGAATGGAGCGAATGCGGGGAAAAGCAGCCGGGCCTCGTAAAGCCCGTGGGATGCAGTGGGGAAACTGTGGTCTTCGCCAGTGGGATGCAGTGGGGAAACTGTGGTCTTCGCCAGTGGGATGCAGTGGGGAAGCTGTGGTCTTCTCCTCTCGCACCGTGAAGTTGTACTGGCTTGTTTTCAGATTCGGGAAATGCTAACTCACAAAGAAAAAATGAAAATGAAACAAACTATAAAACAACAAATGCTGTAGCTCCTTTGGAATTTGATTTAGGATCAATAAAGTACTACAACTACTACTGCTACTGCTACTACTACTACTAATAATAATAATAATAATAAAAAATATGCAACAGCAAAATGAATAACTATGGCAAAGTAGAGCTATATTCTAAATGAAAATATATTTTCGTTATTTTATATATATATATATATATATATATATAATTGTCATACAGTATAGTTAGTGGTAAAAGCAGTAATATTTTCATTGAACAGTTTTTTTAAATAAATTAATCTTAATATGAATAAAACTGATGTTGTTCTAAGTTGTAACAGGCAATTATTTTGCTTGAAATTTTTAAGGAATCAAGGGATATTTCTAAAAATGCCAGTGTTAGTCATAAGTATTTTTAAATTGACTGGGTTCTCACCAGTAAAATGTGAAAAAGTGTTTCTCCTGAATTGCACTACATATTTTCATTTATTTTTCTCATTCAAGTGAACCTCTGCAGATCTATTTCTCAGCTGTAATCCTTCAACCATAGAGTCACTGGCTACCAGAAAATTCCGACATTTTTGATGTGTGTGAATGCAGAGCGCACACGATGAACGTGCACCGACACGCATCCAAGAAAAGGCGCCTTCTCTTTGTTCAGAATTTGCAGTCCCATAACCTGAAGGGCCAGCAGAATGCAGACTTCCCTTGACACCATAATTTTGTAGAGAATCTGACTCCTTCTTGTCTTGGTAGTTTGATTCTTTTTCTTTGTGGAACAAAGTTTTTCAGCCAGATCTGTTTTAATTTAAAGCAGAATGGCTGTTTATCCCCTTTTTTTCATTTCCCCTTCTTGGTTCTGACTTTGCCTTTGGCCAAATGACACTTTGCTGAGGGTCTTCATGGACGGTGAAACAGCTTTTTAAATAGTTTTTAACAAACCATATTTACATCACGTTTACATGTATTTCTTTGTTAGATGTTTTTGTCTAAAGCAACGTACAAGTGAGTCATACAACAACACAAAACAAGCTTACATCTGTCACAGAGCTAACTTACAAGCGCAAGACGGTTGTCGGGATATAGAGCGAACAGATATTGCTTAAAACCCTGCATCAAAAAAAGCTACACATACAAAATTCACCCTAGAGAAAATCTAAGTGCAATATACAAAAACGGAGTGCCAAAGAAACCACTTCACAAGGTAACAAGCCACCAGTTAATAGGTATAATAGGGAGTCTGTGAAAGGGATGACGCCATAGTTTTGTCCCTGGTTTTAATCCCCAGGAAAGGTAGCTGGTTGGCCCTGTTTAATGAAAACCTTTAATTAGCTTATGTATGCGTACCATGTTATGTATATTTACTAACGATCGACTTTCCCTGCTCAGACACTTCATTCAGTGCGCTTTCCAAAAGGCAGGAGGAGGAGTTAATGGAAGAAAAGTTGTTTTTTTTTCCAGGCGTGGAACGTACGCACGCTGGCAGGTTTGCATGGGGTGAGCCGCTGCGCTACGCCTGATCCCCCGCTGTCACCTCGCCGCCACCGAATGCGCGAATGCGTGTGAAGGACGGGGAAGCACGATCGGTAGAGAGACACCTGAAGTTATTACACGGACAGTGTTGCAACTTGCATCGGCAAACAAAACTGCAAAGGAGTCAATTATTATTTCACAGGCGCCAGTTGTGCGCCTTCAGCGGCCCGGTCACGCCTATCCTACTCGCGTAGCTTTTTACAGATTTATTAGCAAATTATATAGCAGTGGTTTCACTGTTAAGATGATTACAATATTTGGCACTGTGAGAATTCAGATACCGTTATTTTACGTAATCTGCACGTTAGATATAGGCCTACACTTCGTAAGAAGGAAGATTATTTTCCAAACAAAAAAAATACTGAAAACATCACCGTACTAATAGTTGAGCTATTCATTATTATTATTAATGAAAATACACAACAGGTATCTCGGTTGTGAATGGATTGCATGCTTAGTAGACTCACTCATTAAACGAAATGAAATGATCAGTGTAGTGACCGAGATAATTTCGTTAATTTACAAGATCATTAAAAAAAACGAATCATTCAAGAACCAACAGGCTGATCGCTGGAAAAAATGAAGGAACATTAAAGCATAAGGTACAATCAATCAATCAATCACAATGTAGCACATTTGCACAATTTAAATACATTAAATCTTAATTACAAATAATTTGTCATTTAAAAAAAAAATTCTTTTCTTCATGTACTAGATAGGAAGCAAACCCAGAACCATAATCTCATTGTGTTCAAGCCGAACATCAGGCGTTTTAAGGAAACATTTTAGTATGCATGAGTTGAAAAGAAAAAAATATCTTCACTGCACAGCCGTTATGTATGAAAATGCACCGCTGAGACTGCAACTGTCAAATTTTTAGATGATATTTCATGTAGATTGTTATTTTTGCTTAATGCAAACATTGAGCAGGGTTGTGTTCTTGCTTGTTAAAGCCAATTCATCAGGAGAACAATGTGGGAACGTTCGAATGAATGAATAAAAAATGATAGATCATACTTGGTAGAAAGCAATATGTATTACATGCTTGGGATTAAGATTGTAATCATCAAAACCTTCATGCGGTTGTGTTCGTCGCAGTATGTTTAAATAAAGGACCAAGGCAGCGATCAACTTTTTCGATTATTTATTGAGGAACTCTATGGATCGGGCAGTATAACAGAACGACGCCTGCGCACCTCACGTGACTCTCCAATGACACACATGCTGTAATGTTTAAGTGTGAGGCATGAAAAAGTAGGGTGCGGCACGTGGACGGTTCGGATCTGTTTATGAATTCCCAAGATGGTGGCTTCCATGGTCCAGTCTGCTGGGGGGGTACATGGTCTGACTAAATAGAGATTTATGGCAGATCTCAAACTTCTGCCCAACGAGCAACAGTGTAGCATGAAGGTCTCCAAAGCTTAATGGAAATCTTACAGGTGTGCTTCATGATTATTCGCCACCTCCATTCTCTGTGCTTGACTCATTACAGTCTTGCACCACCATTACAGACTGGAGTCTAACTCGGAAAAAGAGAATGATACTTTGTAAGTTCTATTATGTTCTTAATGAATCATTTCAGGGCCTTCCATCAGGGCTGAGTATCCCGACGCTTTCATGGCTCATATGTTCTATTTTTTAACAAAGTTACGAATGACATAGCATTAAGAAAGCTTTGGAAACCCACCCCAGTGCATTTAGAAAGTTTATATATGGGGAGAATGAGAGACGGGTGTAAAGCAGCTGGAGGTCCGGAAACTTCGGTAACCTAAGACGGCATGTCCTCGTTTTCTCTCGGCTCCTGTCCATTACAAAGAGATACAACACAAGTCTTCCATTGCAGAAATGGTCTAGATGCCGTTGAAGCAAGTGAATAAGGTGACAGTCAATGTGGTCTTGGTTATAGAAATGCTCATCTTTAATTTAAAAACAGAAATTGCACATTAGTAATTGGGGATAACATCCTATATTAATTACATTCATAAATCCCATCACTACCTCCCCTCTAGACCTAACAAAAGGGGAAAAAGGGGGAAAGGAGTATCTAGACAATCAGTAACTAGAAGAATAAAGCAGTGCACAGCTTAGGGATTGAGTGCGGTTATGGAGTCTAAACTTGATATCATCTCCCCTTTAAAACCACAGCTTCTTTGCAGGTCTTCACCCTCGTGCAGTGCTGTCCCCATGATAATTGACTGTGCCTGAAATAAGCATGATTCAACATTCAAACTCACCAAATCTAGAGTGAGAACAGCTGCATTGCACGTGTAACAGATTTGTCCAAAAAGGAGAAACAGGAGTTCACATTATCTACCGATCACCTACCCTCCCTACACTTCAAATGAAAGGCACGACAGATGTGCCCCCCCACCCCCAACCAACCCTTCCTTGAGACTTCGTATTGTGCCTGGAGTCTAGGCAGGCGGGGTCATGGATGAGGGTGGGCTATAGGGCCCCGCCCTCCCTTTCCCTATTCCTCCTCCTCCTCACGGAGAAACTGGAAAACCGAGGAGAAGTCCTTGCCGGCGTATCCGCGGGCACACATCATGCGGTAGATCTGGTGTGCCAGGGAGCCCAGGGGGACGGGGGTCTTCGTGTCCGTCGCTGTGTCCTGAGCAAGTCCCAGGTCCTGAGAGGAGATGCAGGTTACTTGGGGAACATCTGCAGCAACATCTGCGTCATTCTCAGGGGGCTCGGTGTAAGTACCGCGCTCATGCTCCTCAGAACACCAATGACAAGCTCGGTAGTGTCATGTAGGACACAGGCAATGAAACATTATAGACGCAAGGATTGGGTGCCCTCTAATAAAATCAAGAGACCAATCATGCTTATTACTCTCTAGTCAAAATTATTCCCTCCCAGCCCATTCAGATAGGTCGTACCCACCTTGGCCATCAGAGTTGTGGCAAAACCACCTTGGTAGTTGTTCCCAGATGGCACCCCCTCCATCACGCCAGGGACGGGGTTGTAGGCATCACTGGACCAGCAGCGGCCAGAGCTCATGTTCAGGATCTTAGCCAAGAGCTTGGGATCAAGGCCCAACCTGCGAAGGTTAAGCGGGAAAAAGAAGAAAAACCTGGAGTCATCAAGATCCTGCCCAGATTCAACCCAAACTCAATTTCTCACCTAATAATTCTCCTGAATACAGTGCAAAGCATCAGGCGTCTCTGCTGGTTAATTACATGGTCCTCAGTCATTACAGTTCATCAAAAAAATGTGCAAGAAAGCATTAGTAAAGCACACAGTGCAGCATTCGCTGCACTGCACTGTCTGCCTGCTCATAAGGGGCGACTCAGAGCCTCTTTAATGTCACGCTCTGCCGAAGATTGATGTCCCCGAGGAAATCCCACAGGACCAGGAGACAGCTGCCTGAAAAGGCAGCTTTAATGGGGAAGCTGCTTCGAGGCTCCTGACCGTGATAAAAGCTTATTGCCGTTTCCCTGTAATTTGGCGGCGAGCATGCAATCCCTTTGGCTCGAGAGCCGAGCTGCGACTTGACAGATATACAGCACGATTCTCGCCGTCAAGGTCCCAGACCGACGAAGCAGCAAAGTGAC